ATGATGATGGTGATGATAGTGATGGTGATGATGGCGATGGTGGGGATGATGAAGGCCATAGCTACAATTTACAATGCACCTGCTACATGCTGGAAACTTCTAAAGTTTCAACACCCACCACTTCATATAAACTTCATAGCAAGATACGGTTATCATTTAACCTCCTTTTACAAGTGAGGAAACTGAGGCACAAAAGGACTCTGTAACAGGGCTCAGGTGACACAGCCAGGCTGTGGCAAGACCAATATTGCCATTCAGATCCACATGACTTTACAGCTGGTGCTTTAACCACTGTGCTCTGCTCATGGGTGACCACCGGCTTTGTTGGTGTGGCTACTGGCTCTACCCAGGCACTGGGTCACACCAGGGAATGAGGTGGACAAGTGTGCTGCCTTTGCAGAGCTTACGCCCAAGACCAACAAGACGCAAGTCAGAAACCATTGAATAGTCATATGTAGATTTAAAACAAAGTGGTTTGCTAGATTCTGACAGGGTGGCAACTTGAGAGTGGATGCTTGGGGCCGGGGCAGGGGGGGACCTCTCAGAGGAGGTGACATTTCTGCTCAGATCTGAGCGACAGAGAAGGGGTGAGGGGAAAGGGCATTGCAGGCAGAAGCACCAGCTGAGCAAAGGCCCTGTGGCTGGAACCAGGAATGAAGAAGGTGAACAGGGGGCTGCCAAGGTACCACACCCTGCCGTTTGTCCATCTGCTCAGCACCTGAGTCCTGCAAGGGGGTGTGAGCCATCTGAGCGACTGACGAGCAAAGAAACAAAGCTAGCCAGTAAGCCAGCAGGACATGGGCGATTTCCCTGGGCCTGCACAAAGTTTCTGCCCAGGGCCCAGAGAGCACAGAGCCTCCAGACCTCCTCCTGCCTCACGAGGCATCCGAGCACAAGGTGGGTGGCACTGTGTGTCGGAAAGATGCCCACTCTCTGGGCAGAGGGCATCACTCCCCAAACTCCTACTGAGCCCACTCCCAGGCCAGGGGGTGGCCCTGCTCCTGCTGGCTTCCTGGCACCCCTCTCAGGCCTCTGGCTGGCCCCCAGCAAGGGGCCCTTCTTGTCTAATTTCCTTCTAGTTGGTGTCACTGCCAGCCTCCTAGAAATGCCTCAGGCCCTGGGCCCCAGAAGGCCAGGGATGGTCCCAGCCCAGTGCCCCAACCCGGTGTCCAGCTTGCACAGGTATCCCCAACAAGCGGGGCTGCTCAGGCCAGCAGAGACAGGCAGCATGGCACGGGTGCCCCCAATGGCCAGGAGGGGCCAGGGACGCACCCCCAGCTGCTGTTTCCCTCACCATGAACACCAGGGACTTGTCGTGGGAACTGCCTCCAGGCATGAGTCAGGCCCTGCCCCGTGCCCACCTGCTCACCATCCACCCTCAAGCTTTGTGGGCTTGGGCTGCAGGCCAGGGGGTCCCCGTGCGGATCGGCCTG